GACTTTGAGGTTTGGGTAGATGATCTGCAGCTTTTCCTACAGTGCGATAGGGCAGACGGTCTCTCCCTGTTTGACCTCACTTCTGGTGCCTCTCCTGCCCCTGCTGCTGATGCTGACGCCACTGTTCGCTCACAGTGGGCCACGCGCGATGGTGCTGCTCGCCTTGCTGTGGGCCGCCACTTACCGACCACTGAGCGTGCACACTTTAGCCAGTACAAGAGTGCTCAGACCTTGTACGACGCTGTAGTTGCACGCTACTCTTCCCCTGCCACTGCTGCACTGAGCCGCCTCATGCTACCGTACCTCTTCCCTGACCTTGCTGCCTTTCCCACAGTCGCTGACCTCATTGCGCACCTCCGCACTTGTGACACTCGCTACCACGCTGCGCTTCCTGCTGAGTTCTGCGCCAAGAACCCCCCCCCCCCATGTACATCACCCTCTACTACATAGTCACCCGGCTCCCTGACTCTCTCCGCGTAGTCAGGGACCACTTCCTCTCAGTTTGCCCCACCACTCTCACCGTTGACCTCCTCGAGAAGGCTCTCCTAGCAGCAGAAAAGAGTATAATCGCTGTAGGAGCCTCTCGTGGTGACCCTCGCACCCCCGTCTTTGAGGGGTGTTCTCCCTCCCCCCTCTTGCCCTCTGTTGCCTCTGCTGCTGCGGCCAACCTCGTTGGTTTCGAGTCGGTCGGCGCTGCGTCTGCCCCAAGCAGGAGACGCCGCATCGGCAAGGACAAGGGGGGCAAGGGCGCTGGAGGGGCTGGCGAGGGCGGTGGAGGTGGTGGTGGAGGCAGTGGAGGGAGTGGGGGTGGTGGTGGGAGTGGTGTCGGGGGTGGCGGCGGCGACGGCAGCAGTGGAGGCGGCGGAGGTGGCGGTGGTGGCGGAGGGAGCGGAGGCGGCGGATGTGGCGGAGGAGGCGGAGGTGGAGGAGGCGGCGGAGGCGGCGGCGCCGGTGGTGGAGCGGGTCGCGACTCTGCGCAGAGGAGTGGCTCAGGTGGTGGTCCGCGCCAGCAGCAGCGGAGTGGTGTGACCCTGTCCCCTCAGAAGCTTCGTAAGTGGTACACTGTGCGTCAGCGCGGTGAGGGTTTTGGTCCCTGCACTTACGTCCTCCATACCGGCGACCGAGCTGGTGAGCAGTGCGGGGGCCCGCACTCCACCCAACGCTGCTTCGGTTGCCTGACGGACGCGTGGCGTCGCCAGTTCCCTGAGGCGTCAGAGATCCCTCGCTGGGGAGATCTGTCTAGAGCGGGGGTTGCCGTCTTTGATCTTGAATATGATGCTATCCTTGCTGCCATGTATTCTGTGACTACTAGTGTTGAGGGTGACTGTTACCTGTGTGTACCGCCTGACCCGTGCATTAAGGCCACTGCTCTAGGTGCTGGTGAGCTTGCTGCTCTAGGTGCTAGTGCGTCTGCTGCCCCAGGTGCCAGTGCGTCTGCTGCCCCAGGTGCCAGTGCGTCTGCTGCCCTAGGTGCTGGTGTGTCTGCTCTCTCAGGTACTATGTCGGCTCAGGCCTTCCACACCTTCACCCTTGACTCGGGTGCGTCCCGCTCCTTCTTTCGAGACCGCACCACTCTTACGCCGCTCAGTCGGCCGGTTGCAGTCTCCCTGGCAGACCCCTCTGGGGGTCCTGTCCTTGCTAGCTTCTCCACTGTCTTACCGTGCCCGGCAGCCCCCTCTGGCACCATGTCAGGTCTCTTCCTCCCCTCGTTCTCTACGAACTTGGTGAGTGGAGCGGACCTACAGGATAGGGGGGTTGACCAGTTCACTCCTGCGAGTCAGCGAGTGACCCACTGCACGTGTGCTCGGACAGGCCGACACTTGGCCACGTTCATCCGTCGGCCAGGGTCGAGCCTGTACACCCTTACTACTGAGTCTCCTCCGGCTGCTGAGTCTGACCAGGTAGCTGCGTCGAGTCAGGTGTTTGCTGCAGCGTCCAGGTCTGGTCCTGAGTCTGCTCCCTGCTCGTGTCGTCTCCTGTCCCACCAGACTCTCCTCTGGCACCACCGCCTTGGTCACCCCTCCCTGCCTCGTCTCCGAGGCATGGCCTCCTGTGTCCTTGTCTCTGGTCTCCCTCGATCTCTCCCTCCCCTACGTCCGGGGCCTGGCCCTACCTGCGTCCCCTGCGTCGAGGGGCGACAACGCGCCGCCCCTCACTCCTCCGAGTTTCCTCCGACAGAGGCTCCGCTACAGACCCTACACATGGACGTGTGGGGCCCTGCCCGCGTCCGTGGATAGGGGCACGAGCGTTACTTCCTGTTGGTGGTTGACGACTACTCGCGTTACACCACAGTCTTCCCCTTGCGCAGCAAGGGTGACGTCACTGAGGTGTTGATCGATTGGATCCACGCAGCTCCTCTCCAGCTCAGAGAGCGTTTCGGCTCGGACTTTCCTGTTCTGCGTCTGCACTCGGACAGAGGCGGGGAGTTTTCCTCTGCCCGTCTGGGAGCCTTCTGTGGTGCACAGGGCATCCGCCAGACCTTCACGCTTCCGGCCTCTCAACAGCAAAATGGGATTGCTGAGCGCCGCATTGGCATGGTCATGGACGTCGCTCGTACGTCCATGATGCATGCGGCTGCCCCCCATTTTCTGTGGCCGTTTGCGGTTCAGTACGCCGCGCATCAGCTCAACCTTCAGCCCCGGGTCTCCTTGCCAGAGACCTCCCCCGCCTTGCGGTGGACCGGGAAGGTTGGAGATGCGTCTGCGTTTCGGGTCTGGGGATCTCGGCCGTTTGTCCGCGACTTGTCTGCGGACAAGCTGTCCCCCCGTGCTGTTCCCTACGTCTTCCTTGGCTTTCCCCCTGACGCGCCTGGGTGGCAGTTTTACCTCCCCACCTCGCGCCGTGTTCTGTCCTCCCAGGACGTCGCCTTTGACGAGTCGGTGCCTTACTACCGTCTCTTCCCCTACCGCACTGCGCCCCTCCCCCCGCCGCCGCTCTTCCTTGCACTAGGTCCTCCCTCGGTAGACCCCCTCCCCCCTCAGGGTCCTGCCCCGTCAGGTGTGTCCCAGGTAGACTTAGTCGAGTCTGTCAAGGTAGCTGTTGACTCTGGTGCTGCTAGAGGTGCTGAGCCTGCGGGTGCCGGGTCTGGAGGTGCTGAGCCTGGGAGTGCCGAGCCTGGGGGTGCTGAGTGCAGGGGTGCGGAGCCTGGGGGCGCTGAGCCTGGGGGTGCTGAGTCTGGGGGTGCTGAGCTTGGGGGTGCTGAGTCTGGGGGTGCTCAGCCTGGGGGTGCTGAGCCTGGGGGTGCGGAGCCTGGGGGTGCTGGGTCTGCTCGTGTAGCCTCTCGCGGTGCTTCGTCGAGGCGGGAGCTACTCTCTCCGCAGGAGTTGCGCGAGTGGTTTACCCGGCGCTGGAGCCGTGTTGCTGGAGCTGGAGGTACTACTGTTGCTGCTGGTCCGGGGGTGCTGAGAGTGGGGGTGCTGACCCCGGGGGGTGCGGAGTCTGGGGGTGCTGAGTCTGGGGGTGCTGAGACTGGGGGTGCTGACCGTGGGGGTGCGGAGTCTAGGGGTGCTGAGCCTGAGGGTGCTGAGCCTGGGGGTGCTGGGTCTGGGGGTGCGGAGCCTGGGGGTGCGGAGCCTGGACGTGCGGAGCCTGGGGGTGCCGAGCTTGGGGGCGCTGGGTCTGCTCGTGTGGCCGCCGGCAGTGCTTCGTCGAGGAGGGAGCCACTCTCTCCACAGGAGCTGCGCGAGTGGTTTGCCCGCCGCTGGAGACGTGTTGCTGAGACTGGGGGTGCTGCTGGGGCTACTGGAGTTGGTCCTGCTGGAGCTACTGGCAGTACTAGTGCTGCTAGAGCTGGAGCTGGTGGGGGTGTTGGCGCTGGTGTTTCTACTGGCGCTGGTGCGTCTGGGGGTGCTGTTGAGGTTGCTGGAGCTGATGGTCCTACTGGAGTTGGTGCTGCTGGAGCTGGAGTTGCTGGGGGTGTTGGAGCTGGAGGGCGCACTCACCCCCGACGGACGGAGGACAGACAGACGCAGACTCGGCGACAAGACTAGCAGCGTAGTCTAGACGACAGCGAGCAGCAAAGTCGACGAGCTCAGCAACTAGGGCAGACGCAGCAGTGGACTCAAAAGAAGGGTCAGTGACGACAGTAGCAAGGAGACGCGTGACAGTAGGACTGGCAGCACGAAGAGAGTCCGACTCCGGGTCGGCAAAAGCAGGACGAGAAGACTCAGGAGGAGAAGGCAAAGGGGCACGCAGAGGAGCAGTGGACGGACGCAGAGACATCCGGTGCGTGCCAGGGACAGGAGGAGGACGCTGACGCGAACCGCGACCACTAGTGCGAGCAGCACGGACACGTTAGCCCGTCGTTCCATGTCACCCTGCTTCGCCCATTTGTCCCATCCACCAGTCAACTGCCTCGCAACCGCCCCACCAGCATGACACGACCGCCGACAAAGCCAGTCATTACGCCCGAAAAATATTGAGCCACCGGGTTCGTGATCCACGTGGAGTCCGCAGGATCGAATTTCTGATCCGCTGGAAAGATCGCACGCCCACCGAAGACAACTGGGTTCCCTTGGATAGAATTAAGAACCACCCCGTCCTCACCGAGTACCTGCGCAGCCGAAATTTTCGTGATGTACATGCGCTCTCGTAAGGAGGGCCTCCTTAGGGGAGGGGGGTAGTGTAAGGAAAATTATTTTTCCTTACTTCGCATCCCTCCTCAGCGCGTACACCACTGTTCCCGCCAACAAGTCCCAACAGTACACCGTTACCACTCGCGACACTCACCTCGACTATTATTCCCGCCACTGTTCACGACGCGACCCAACCTCACGGTTCGGTTGGTAACCCGCACTCCGGACCTCCGCCTCGACAATTCCCAGCCTCAGCGCTAGGCCCGTAGCACATCAGGAGCTAAGGAGGATATTATCCTTGGAGGAGCGCATCGATCAAACGTGGTGCGGGTGCCAAAGGTAAATGAGCCAACGGATGGGCGTAAGAATGATTCGTCGCTTTTGGATATTGGATGCACTCGTCACATGACTTTCAAATATGATTGGATGGAGAACGTGAAAGAGTCGAGTGAGGAGTTTGCTCTTCAAGGTAGTAACGAGAAGCTACCGGTGACGGGAGAAGGTGACGTGGTCCTGCAGAGTCCTTATGGAGGAATGAAGCTTGAGCGTATGTTGTTGGTTGAGGATCTGAAGGTGAACCTCGTAAGTCAAGCACGGCTTGATGATTTGGCGTGCAAGGTATCCTATGATGATGGTAAGGTTACGGTGTTTGGTCCTATGTGGGAGAAGTATTCGGATGGTTACTTCAATGACGGTTTTTATGAGATGGGTTCGATTGCATTGAATGACATGGATGAAGTGTATGAGGATGGTGAATTCTATAAGGTTGGATTGAAGGAGAGTTCATTCATTGAGCTTGGTGAGATTGATTACACAGAAGATGCGGCATCTAGTCAGAAGAAGGACATGTCAGTCAAGGAGGAGGATGTGCTTGTGGAGAAAACGTTGAAACCGAACAAGGAAATTCGTGTCAACACCGAAGAAGCAACGATCATCCTCGAAGATGAAAGTTGTGTGCAAGGAGTGTGAAGAAGTTGAAGCTGCAAAAGGAAACCTCAGTGCGAAGGGAATGATGGGAAAAGCAACTCCAAAGGTGAAGCGGCCAAGGAGGAGCGCTAGGCTGGAGAATATCTATCGCGGATTGGACGTCAAAGCGGTTAATTTCAAGACTCGTAAGACGAGGTTCAAGTTGCACGAGTTGCAGGGGAGTATGAAGCCGAGTTAGATAACAAGAAGCAAAGGAGAATTGGAGTGGTACGGAGGAGTGTGTGGTTCACGAACCACAGGGGAAGTTGTTGGAGTGGTTCGCAGAAACACACTAAAGTGACGGCGGATTCGGACCGATTGCGGAATCTACGAGAAAACGTGTGGAAAACGCTAAGCAAAAATGCTAGGAAAATGATAAGGAGCTATGCGTGTGATCTACGAAATGGGGAAGGAAAAGGAGGCTGGAAGAAATGTGAGAGATGGAGTAGTAGAAGTGATAGGAAAAGGGAATATGTTTGACAGGAGAGAAGTTTGGGGTTGGACCATGGCGTGGTCCACAAGGCACCAAAAATTCGGACTCGGGGGGCGTTCGATGAAGCTGTGCAGGTTGAGTGTGCAACACGACGTGAAACGTACGCGGCACGTTACACGTCGAGGCGCATTTTGGGAGTGTTAGGTTGATATAAGGTTGTTATATTTTTCTTTGTGTACCACATCTATTTCTATAGTGTGGGAGACTTCTGTGTTAAAGACTCAAGTTCGATTCCTGCTGAAAGCACATTTTCGTGCTCTTGTGAAGTTTCAGTGAAATTCTCGTGAAGGGCCCGTCAAGGCCCCGTTAATGCCCTGTCAAGGGCCAATCAGCAGAAACCCCCATGAAGGCCCCATCAAGGGCCCGTGAAGGCCCCGTTAAGGGCCCGTGAGCGGGATCTCCGTCAGAATCTTGTTAAGGCCCCACGAAGCGCCAGTGAAGCGCTAGTGAGGAGCTAGTGAAGCGTTGACAGATTTAGACGCTGCGCATATCGTTTGAATCGTGAGAACGAGGAGAACGCGATCGACATTAGCAAGGAGACTTTTGTCGACTAAGGCGTGTACAATCCTAACAACTTCCCCCTCGTCTCAACCTCGTCGTCGGGGTCGTCCTTCGCCGCCGTCGTTGAGTGTTGCATAATCAAGTAGCCGCACGGCGACGAGCGATTCACAAAACCACCGTGCATGCAGCGACTGGTGCGACGTGTCAACACAAGAACCATGTCACCCCACATCGCTTCAACGTATGGCACCGTTTTAGAACGCATCCACTCGTTCTGCATCTCCCTCCCTCCCACTCTCGCCGTCACATCCCATCCATCCTTATGCCGCGCACCCCCGTGCCACTAAATCCGCTCCAATTGCCGCACTTGAAGGCGCCGGCAATGCTGGAGCAACGGCTGGCTCTCCCGTGCCGTCCCCCTCACCCCTCACCCCTCCCCTCATCCCCCGCCGACACTTCCTCCCCTCCCCAAAGCCAGCAACGCTCTGCAGGAGCTGCCCGCCGTGCCGCCCACTGCTGAACCCATTGCCCCTACCCCCTGCCTTCAACCTGCCCCTCCTCTACCCCTCTACCATCCTTCCCAGTCCATCTTGTGGCATGGGGGGAATTGTGGCATAGGGGCAAGCGTGGCATGGGGGGAAGCGTGGCATGGGAAGTGTGGCATGGGGGGAAGTGTGGCATGGGTTGAAGTGTGGCATGGGGGGAAATGTGGCATGGGGGGATGTGTGGCATGGGGGGATGTGTGGCATGGGGGCAAGTGTGGCATGGGGGGATGTGTGGCATGGGGGCAAGTGTGGCATGGGGGATGTGTGGCATGAGGGGATGTGTGGCATGGGGGGTTGTGTGGCATGGGGGGAAGGGTGGCATAGAGGGAAGTGTGGCATGGGGGGAAGTGTGGCATAGGGGGAAGTGTGGCATGGGGGGACGTGTGGCATGGGGGCAATGGCATGGGGGGATGTGTGGCATGGGGGGAAGTGTGGCATGGGGGGAATTGTGGCATGGGGGAACGTGTGGCATGGGGGGATATGCGGCATGGGGGCAAGTGTGGCATGGGGGGATGTGTGGCATGGGGGGATGTGTGGTATGGGGGGTTGTGTGGCATGGGGGGAAGTGTGGCATGGAGGGGAGTGTGGCATGGGGGAAAGTGTGGCATGGGGGGAAGTGTGGCATGGGGGGAAGTGTGGCATCGGGGGATGTGTGGCATGCGAGGATGTGTGACATGGGGGCAAGTGTGGCATAGGGGGATGTGTGGCATGGGGGCACATGTGGCATGGGGGGATGTGTGGCATGGGGGCAAGTGTGGCATGGGGGGATGTGTGGCATCAGGGGAAGTGTGGCATGGGGGGATGTGTGGCATGGGGGGATGTGTGGAATGGAGGCAAGTGTGGCATGGGGGGATGTGTGGCATGGGGGCAAGTGTGGCATGGGGGGATGTGTGGCATGGGGGGATGTGTGGCATGGGGGGTTGTGTGGCATGGGGGGAAGTGTGGCATGGAGGGAAGTGTGGCATGGGGGTAAGTGTGGCATGGGGGGAAGTGTGGCATTGGGGGATGTGTGGCTTGGGAGGATGTATGACATGGGGGCAAGTGTGGCATGGGGGGATGTGTGGCATGGGGGCAAGTGTGGCATGGGGGGATGTGTGGCATGGGGGCAAGTGTGGCATGGGGGATGTGTGGCATGGGGAAATGTGTGGCATGGGGGGTTGTGTGGCATGGGGGCAAGTGTGGCATGGAGGGAAGTGTGGCATGGGGGGAAGTGTGGCATAGGGGGAAGTGTGGCATTGGGGGACGTGTTGCATGGAAGGATGTGGGGCATGGGGGCAAGTGTGGCATGGGGGGATGTGTGGCATGGGGGCAAGTGTGGCATGGGGGGATGTGTGGCATGGGGGGATGTGTGGCATGGGGGGATGTGGGGCATGGGGCAAGTGTGGCATGGGGGGATGTGTGGCATGGGGGGAAGTGTGGTATGGGGGGAAGTGTGGCATGGAGGGAAGTGTGGGTACATACGAAGAGGCATGAGTGCGTGGGTGCACTACAGTCATGTCACAGACACACCAAGGCTTCTCTCCTGCCCTGATGCCTTGTTGTACTTGTTTCGGATTCTTGCTCTATGCGCCTCCTTTTACTAGAATCTGTCAAATTCGTCCGCTGCTACCAAGTCCCTGATGTCTTGTTGCACTTGCAACAGCACAGCTCTTCGAGCCATCGCAACACGCAACGCATCTCAACACGTATTGCAACATGCTTACCTTCGCTCTTACACAGAACCTCTCGCCCTACCCTCGCCCTGCCATCCCTTTGCCACCCCCGCCATCCCCCTGCCAACCCCGCTAGCGCCCTGCCCTGGCCCCAAGCGCAGCGCAACAGCATCGAGCTGCTCACCATAGCAGCCATCACCCATCTAACTTCCGTCCATCTGACATAGGGAATTCGTCCATCTGACACAGGGAATCCGTCCATCTGACAAGGGGAATCCGTCCATCCACCACACACATGTTCTCTCTCGCAGATCGTTGGATATGAACCTTCCATTTTTTTATCGATCGTTGGACGTTGGATTGTTGGACGGCAACATAGGGAACTACTACCTCAAGTATCTCTCGCGTGCCATTTTTTAAAGCGCCTCAAAACTTGCTGGACGGCAACATAGGGAATTCTCCACACCTCAAGAATTTCACCGGCCTCACCGCCCTCAAGATCTTATTAGCATCCGTGGTTGAAACTGTCCATGCTCTTCTAAGGGCTCTTCTTCTGCCCTTAGGAGTCTCCCACCCTGGTACCATCTGTCTATTCATCCATCCAACCATCAATCCGTCCATCCGTCCATCCCTCCCTCCATCCCTCAGTCTATCTGTCCATAAAAACCTTCCTCCCTCCCTCCCTCTATAGCATAATAAGCAAGCATAAGCCGTCATACTCTCACGCGTCCCCCCCTCAAAGCTGGGTGGCGTAAGAAACACCCTGCTCGAAAAGATAGTACTGAGAGCACAGCATGCGTTGCCCATATCAGCTTCTGCAACCCAACTGTCCTCTATGGGGTCATAACCCTTCCAGCCTATCAGGAACTCGAGGGTCTTGCCGCCGCGGCGCCGATGAGTGAGAACGCGCTCCACTTCGTACTCCGGTTCATCTTGTATGAGAACAGGTGGTGGTGACGGTAGCTGCCGTCCCTGGAACTGTTGGTTAGGGTCCTTGTAGGGCTTCAGTAGCTGAACATGGAAAGCATTGTGAAGCTTCCACATAGGAGGCAAGCGCAAGCGAAATGTTACTGGTGTCATATGTGCCTCAACGTGAAAGGGACCACAGAAGCGAGGCCGGAATTTTGATGGTAGGTGAGACAGGTTCAAGTTGCGCGTGTCGAGGAGCACCTGATCACCGGCTGCTACCGTGTGATCACGCCGTTGGCGATTGGCATAGTGCTTCTGTGAGTTCTGCATCGTGGTGAGGCGTCGCTGAGTCTTCTCCCGTAGCTGCTACATGGTGGTGATGGAGTCATGCGCGGCTTGGACGTGTGCCGGTGTGGTTGGCTTCTGTCATGTAAGTGGTTCCCGTCCGTAGCACAGGAAGAAAGGAGATCTCCCCATGGTCGCATGTGACGCGTTGTTGTAAGCGAACTCTAGGGTCGGTAACTGTTGATCCTAGTGGTTGACGTCGTCTTTGCAAGCTGTGCGCAGTAACTGTTCAACCACCTGATTGAGTCGCTCTGTCTATCCGTCACTCTGGGGGTGGTACGCTAAAGACATTGCAAGCTTTGTCCCCAACAATCCCATGAGCTCCTTCCATAACTTACTCGTGAATTTGGGGTCTTTGTCTGAGATCAGTGTAGCGGGGATGCCATGGATGGTGATGATGCGGTTGAAGAAGAGGCGAGCAATTACTTCAGCTATAGCCGTGGAGTTGGTTAGGATGAAGTGGCCCATTTTAGAGAACTTGTCGATCACCACAAGCATAGCGTCATACCCTCGTGAGGTCGAAGGAAGTTTCGTGATGAAGTCGATGCTAACGACTTGCCATGGCTGCTCCGGTACGGGTAGAGGCTGAAGTAACCTTGCTTTTTTCTGCTTGCTACAATTCACCCGCTGGCACGTGTCGCATGAGGTGACGAACTTCTGCACGTCAGCTGCCAGCCCGAGCCAGTAGTAATACTTTGCTATCCCTGCTAACGTCTTGTTGCTCCCGAAATGTCCTGCGTAATGTACGTCGTGAAACTCCTCCAGCAGAAACTGTCGGAGCGGGGCATAGTTCGGTACCCAAATCTTCCCTAAACTCTTCCTTACAGCTAAGTCTTTCTCCTACTGTAACAACTTCTGTTTCTGTGCTGTAGCAATTTCTGCGTCTATGTAACACCTATGTTGGAATAGACCCTTAAGCAGAGGGTACAAATCGTCGATCTGGATCCCTGCTACATGACCGGGGCGGCTCACCGCATCTGCTTTGTTGTGTAGCCCAGGCTTGTAGACGATGTCGTAGTGGAAGTGAGTTTCCAGGAAGTCCACCCACCGCACCTGTCGTCGCGAGAGCGTCGGCTGCGACTTCAGGTATTTGAGACTGCAGTGATCGGAGTAGACTGTAGTCTATGCTCCCTCTAAGTAACACCTCCACGCCTTGAAGGCTACGAATATCGCTAAGACTTCTTTGTCATGGATGGGGTGGTTCAGTTCTGCTCCGTGTAATTTCTTACTAAGGTAGGAGATGGGCTGCAAACGTCCGTGATCCTGCATCACTACTGCTCTGACTGCCTGGTTACTATCATCTGCTTACACCACGTAGTCTTTGTCTGGATTCGGTAAGATGAGTACTGGTGCTGTAGTCAGTGCTGTCTGTAGCTGTCACAGGATCGAATTCTCAATCGAAACTTGTCACTAAAACTGAATACAAGGCATTTTTATACTCGGAAAATACAAGGATAAACGAGATAAAACGAACCTTCGGGAACACGCCCTTCCCGATACTACAATCACAAATGCGCACAAGCACGCAAGGCTATTGGCACTTGGGATTACGCCCAGATTACACCGTATATACCACTGTCGGCGCTGTCGGTGCCGTATAATAGGTATGTCGGTGGGAAAAGTAGGAAATAAGAGAAATAAATAGAAGGCTCTAGAAAATAGAATAGTAGGCCGATTAAGATGAGATAAAGACCAAAATAAAGAGGAGAAAAGGGAGAATAGGATAACGGAAAAATATAATAGTGAGAAAATATTATAACGGGGACGTCCTCTCACACTTCCCCCCCTCAAAACTGGGTGGTAGAAGTAACACCCTGCTTGACAAGGTAGTCCTGGAAAGGACGGCGGACGTTATCCATGTCGTGTTCAGGTACCCAGGTATCCTCGGAAGGATCATAGCCTTTCCAACGAATCAAGAGCTCCAAGGTGCCGCTACGTCGTCGTCGGTGCGCCAGAACGGCTTCGACTTCGTACTCAGGTTCCCCATTAACGATCACTAGCAGTGGCGGCGGCGGCTGGCGACCTTTGAAGACCGTGTTTGGGTCCTGATAGGGCTTGAGAAGTTGAGCATGGAAGGCATTGTGAACTCTCCAGGTAGCTGGTAAACGCAAGCAGAAGGTTACTGGAGTGACCTGCACCTCGACGAGAAAAGGTTCGCAGAAGCGAGGTCGGAGCTTAGACGGAAGATGGCTAATGTCGAGATTGCGTGTATCCAGAAGCACTTGGTCGCCAATCTTGATGGAATGATCGTTGCGACTCCGATCAGCGAGCTTCTTTTGTTGCTGCTGGATAGTCAGAAGACGTTTATGCGTGCACTCCCACAATTGGTGCATAGTGGTAATGAAGTCATGTGCGGGTTGCACCGTGGCGGGTACTGTTGGTTTCTGAGGCGTTAGTGGGTTGCGACCGTAACAGAGGAAGAAAGGAGTTTGCCCTGTTGCGGCGTGCGTGGCGTTGTTATACGCAAACTCGAGAACCGGCAGGTGTGCATCCCATTTAGAGATATCGTCCTTACACGCTGCTCGCAGAAGTTGTTCGACAATCTGGTTGAGGCGCTCTGTCTGACCATCTGTTTGGGGATGATAGGCTGATGACATGGCGAGTTTGGTCCCCATGAGCGACATGAGCTCCTTCCAGAATTTACTCGTGAATTTCGGGTCTCTGTCGGAGATCGGCGTGGTTGGAATGCCATGTTGCGAGATGACGTAGCGGAAGAATAATTGCGCTGTCTCCTCGGTGCGAGCCGTTGTGTGTGTCGGAATGAAGTGTCCCATTTTGGAGAATTTGTCGATGACGACTAGAAGGGCGTCGTAACCAGCTTTGGTAGGTGGTAACCCGGTGATGAAGTCGAGGCTAACCACTTGCCAAGGCTGTTCAGGGACTGGAAGAGGCTGTAGTAACCCTGCTTTCTTCTGTTTGCTGCTCTTCATCCATTGGCATGTGTCGCACGAGGTGACGAATGTTTGTACGTCATCTGCCATGTGGGGCCAATAATAATGCTTCGCAATACCGGCAAGCGTCTTGTTACTACCGAAGTGGCCCGCGTAGAGAACATCATGATATTCTTCGAGCAGTAACTGGCGTAAAGGGTAGTCAGGTACCCATATTTTTGTGGATCCCTTGCGGTATGCGATGTCTTGATCCCAATGTAGAAGATGGCGCTTTTCTGCTACAGAGACTTCGGGGTCGATGGTGTATCCATGCGTGAAGAGTCCCTTCAAAAGTGGGTTCATGCCATCGACTTGTAGGGCGGCAACGTGTGCAGGGCGACTGAGTGCGTCTGCCTTGTTCTTGTGCCCCGGCTTATACACGATGTCGTAATGGAAGTGGGTTTCGAGAAAGTCAATCCACCGGACCTGTCGCCTGGAGAGTGTTGGTTGGGTCTTCAGATACTTGAGGCTGCAGTTGTCGGTGTAGACAATCGTTTTTCTTCCTTCGAGATAACACCTCCATGCCTTAAATGCGTTGATGATGGCGAGGGCCTCTTTGTCATGGATGGGGTAATTGAGTTCTGCCCCGTGAAGTTTTTTACTGAGGTATGCAATGGGTTGCAGTCCCTTCCCTTGATCCTGCATGAGTACTGCGCCCACTGCTTGATCGCTAGCATCGGCATCGATGACATAGTCAAGTTCAGGGTCTGGCAGGATAAGGACAGGTGCGGACGTGAGTGCGGTTTTAAGTTGTTCCACGGATTCCTGGTGCTTCGCCTCCCATTGATATGGTGTATTCTTCTTCAACAGGTTCGTTAATGGTGCGGCAATCTTGGCGTAGTTCGGTACGAACCGGTTGTAGTAGTTGGCGAATCCAAGGAACTGTTGTAACTCCTTCACGTTCTCAGGGGTCTTCCACGTTCGCACTACTTCGATCTTCTTAGGATCCATGTGAACTCCTTGAGCGCTCACCATATGTCCAAGGAACTGGACTTTGTCTAACGCAAACTCGCTCTTGGATAGTTTCACGTAGAAGCGTTCTC